GTTCTAGATGTAGCAACCATAGCTGTTTTTTTTTTTCTTTTTTTTTAAGGGATGCCTTTTCAATAATGGCTTACCACCTGAAAGTGTAAGTGTTCCAAGAAAAAGTTGAATTCAGGAGCTTTAAAATTCCTCTCAAGCTAGGCATGATAGCAAGAGAGATGTTTCTTAAAAGAACTAAAAAAATCAGGAGTCAAATAGTTCTTTGCAAACCTATGGCTCTGAAATAGAAAGGAGGAGGTCAGGATAATTTCAGTGTGTATATAGCTGTCATTGACGTGGGTGGAAACTATGGGCGAGCAATAGAGAGAAATAAGTCCCTTCGGCTGGAATCCCTGAGCTTTGACAGATTTATGTTAAGAATTTTTGTTCTTGCAGGGACCAAAAACCATCTGCTGGTTATTAGTGAAGTGAAAACCCCTGCAACTACCAATACTCATCGTGAAGTACCTGTATAGATTATAGTGGAAGGCAGAAAAGAGGTGAGAAAACGGAAACACAAAAGATCAATGTGGTAGTTATTCCATTGAAGAAAAATGCCTTCAGGGTTGGCCTGGGAGGTTATATTATGAGAAGGGCATGGCAGCCCTCTACTTCCTTATTATTTTTGTACTGTGTTTGAAGACGGGTGCAGTGCCCCAAGGAAGGAAAAGAGAGGATGACAGATATGAAGTCATTGTATCCATTAATCTTGCTACAGAAATGTTCCCTTTTAAGAGCAAACCATGTTTCATTACAGTGTCAATAATTCTTGTAAGGATCTTTGATGGGTCAAACTGGAAGAACTTAATTATTAGACCAAAAGGAACACTCACTCACTTGAGCTGTGATCACTGACTAATGTTGTTTTATTTCAAGAGGAGTGTAGGTATAGTATGGATGGATTATTTTCTTTAAATAAGAACGTGTTTTAAAAAAACCCTGAAAAACCAAAAAAACTTGGAAGCTTTAACAAAAAAGTTCTGTTGCATTTAAAGATGACTGATTGGTAATATAAGAAGGCTTTGTCTATATGTGAAAATCCAAGTGTGCCACTTCGTTATGGGTTTGATGATGTCCATATTGAATATGTATGAGCTTGGAGGAAATTCTTAACAAACAATACAGAAAATAATAAGAAAACTGATAACAACATCTGAGTCTTTTTATATAATGCTTGTCACCAGTAGATTTCGAAGCATGTAATGAAGGAGAAATATTCCATTATCGCTACTTCACAGATGGGAAAACTAAAACACAGAGGCATTTAAGTG